CGCCCCTACACCTTCGAGTGTTTCTTTCTGATTGTACTCCTTGGGATTTTTCCCCTGAATGCCAAAGTGAAGTTTTGCTACTTCGTGTAAGCCTTGGTTGTAAATTCAGGTTACGTTGCAGCAGGTGCCTTGAGGGTAACCCCTGTAGTATTTCTGGGAATGACAAGTGCCTGAGAATTCAAACTCTTCAATAGACTGTTGTTGTGTTACTGGAATGTTTCTCAGTGAGTCCTTCAGTGCGGACCTGTGTTCTCTGCGCGTTTTGTGAGTTGAGAGTGTTGTTCACCGCGTAGGAGTGACTTCGATCCGAAGTAGGCAGTCCAAACCGGGTTTCCTACACTAGCAGCAAGCTAGTGGAAGTGTTGTAAAAGCCGGAGTTGGAAGTCACTGCCCGCAGCTTTGCCGAGTGTGCTCGCGAGAGACTTTCCCCCCTGAAATCTTGAAGTAGAGGTCCTAACGGATCTCTGGGTTGTGTTTCTGTAGTTTCAGGTGTGTGTGTGTGTGTGTGTTACGCTGCAGTGTGCGACCTCCGAGTGCGCTCCGAGTGGACACTTGCAGTATTTCTGGGAGTGACAGTAGCCTGAGAATTCAAACTCATCAATAGTCTGTTAAACGTGACACTTTGTACCCTGTGTGTTCCTCTGTCCCTGTGGGTTCGACCTTTCTACCACTATATTGCAGTTTTAGCCTTTAGTGGGTTATTACAAGGGACAGGCAGGAGAAGTCGCTCCCAGACGCTTTTAGAAAGCTCGGACATGCACACATGAACTTGTAGCTAAGGTTTGCGGGGTTTCTCTCACTGTCAGGTTTGTCTTCTTAGTTTAAAAACATGTCGGTTCTGCGAGCACTGTAGAAAAAGGTTGAAATGAGCCACATGGTCTCGTGGGGACGACGGGCTATTCCAGCGACCTCAAGGCGGCGGAGGCCGGATGTAAATCATTGTGTGGTCCGGAGGTTGGCCTGTGAGGTGAGTCAAATAAATGATAAAGAAAGCTTCATGACATCGATGACCTTCCGAGTCGTACCTCAGCACCAACGAGATACCTTTGGTGTTTGATACATCTTTTATCGACTGACAGATGTTTTGGCAATAGGCCAGCAATCAATCAGCGGCCTGTAGATAAAATCGGGGAGTTGTAAGGCCAGGCGAGTGTCAACTGCACTCACAGGAAAGTCAGCGAAAGTTGAATGTTTGAGGATGGATGGGATGATGAACAAGTTCAGTTTGGTTTCGGGGACTGTATTCATCTTGTTTAGGAAATGTAACCCGGTGGACATAAACTCAACCGGCTGTTATGTCTACGAAATCCTTACGGTTGCTATCGTCTCAGTCAAATCCCATCCAATGCTCAAAACTTGTTCATAACTTTAGTTATGAATAAGTTTAGTCATAGTTGTAAACTATGACTAATTTTTTTCATGGTTCGACCTCAAACCTGGCAGGATACGTAGAAATAACAGACGATGTGCTTACAGGAAGGATCCAGAAGCTGAATATAGTACCGTGATGAGGCGGGAGCTTGCAAAGATGATCTACGATGACCTGTCTAAGACGGGTTGCCGTACGATCAATGCCCTCAAGAAGAGGAAAATCTCGGAATCTGGTACTCGTTCTGCTAGACAGGAGGTTGAGGCGGACATCAACAACCACAAGATGGTCTTCTTCGATTTGCGGGAGAATAATCTTATAAGTCCTCGACATGCAAGGCAGCTTCAAAAATTCAGAAATGAGATCGAGATGGACATCAGGAACCGAAGGGATGTTGAGCCACCACCAAATGTAGGATCCACCGTGTCGTGGGAGATTCTACAAAAAATTCAGGAATTGGAGAATACCAAGAACACACCGAGAATTAGGAAAAATGTACCAGCCTCCCGTGCTACTCATCACCATCATCCAAGCAAACGTTCTCTACCTCCTAGGACGTCCACAGTTAGCCTGCCCAAAATACCTGCCAAATCGGCAGAGGTTACCTGGGCAATTTGAGAGATTTCTATTAACGGGATAAGGGGCAGAAAACAGGACTTTTCGATGCACTTCAGGTGAGTACGTGAAAGAAGTGTTACATAATGTATATATAGTCAACAAACCGAAAGAAGGTAGTATCCATATGTTCTAGCAGATTGTTAACCATCACTAAGTTTGATGACAGTGTGCAAGTCGTGTCTCATAGAATCGAAGAGCAGACACTGAATCAAGTCCAATAAGGAACATACATGGACTGGAGATGATTAACAGACTGATGTCTTAGAGCTTACAGCTCCTACTTGGTAATCAGTTCGTACAATTTGAAAGTCCTTCCATCCATGAAATCTTCCTGCGGTACAATCTTGTCGAAGATGCAAATCGAAGTTGTCCTCATGACACTGAGTCGAATCAACGCACTCCGGTGTAAAATTATAACACACAAAGCTCGACAATAGCATGCTAACAAGGATTCCATGAGACAAAAACCAGGTACACCATCATTTTGAGCGAGCAAAACAAAGCAGTTCAAAAAAATGTATTATGGCGGATATTTACATTAGATTCACAATCAAGATTGACTGGTATCATGCCCTGTCTAAATCATTCGTTATGGGCATTCTCCACATATAAGAGCTAGTTTGCACCATCTAAAAGCACGGGCAATCTGTAATGCAGGCTGATAGAGGTATCAGTCTGCCTCGTTCCAGGAATGAAATATTGGAGCATAATCAACAAGCAGCCATCATTCGGAGCAATTCCTGCACAAACAATATGCCGACGGTCATGGGTCGAGGAAAAATAGAAAATAACGCGAGTTTGAAAATGGCTGAAAGTTGCTCTTGATTCATACACGCCCTTCATTTACTAGGAGTCAGCATAATCATGGTCCACATAACACTGGAGACTTACCACAGAAAGATGCATCAGGCTTGGTGTGATGACACTGCAAACTCTTGACGAACTGCTTAACGTCGACTTTCTGAAAAGCGTTGTACATAAAAGCCAAGTTAAGGAATCTCTTCCGAACAGATCACAGACAGATGAGTTCGTTTATCCAGCAATTCGGAGCAAGAAATACGCAACAGTTCGGAAATTTGGAAAAAGCAAAAGCTTCATTCATGACTAGCAAAAACTCTCTTAGGTGCTAAGCTCTGACGCACACCAGAAGGTACATACCACCACAGAAGCTAATGACTTGTCTAAGGCATCCCGAAGGCGTTCTGAAGAGTTCAAGGTCGGAAATTTGGAAAAAGCAAAAGCTTCATTCATGACTAGCAAATAATCTTTTAGGTGGTAAGCTCTGACGCACACCAGAAGGTACATACCACCACAGAAGCTAATGACTTGTCTAAGGCATCCCGAAGGCGTTCTGAAGAGTTCAAGGTCGCGTCTATGGAATTACCATCAACTGCAAAATAAAGTCAAAAATGCTTGTCAGAACATTTGCTTGGAAATTCTGTCGTGCGTGAGTGATACTCCACGTACTCCAAAGACGTTATTCTCGTACTGATGTTGGTCTAATAAACGATAAAACTTTTCTGCTGAAGGTTCAGAAGCCCGTGATGTATTTTTATTTTTAGTTTTCAATGACGTTTCTCCGTCTTCTGGAATGCACCACAATCGTCTTTTTCCATTAAGTGAAGGGTCCATAAAGTGACCTTCACTTACTAGAGGGACCCTTCACGATGCACCATGGGAAGGCTAAATGGAACAATGAATTCCTCAGCTGAGTAAAGTAAAGAGTAAAGTAAAGGAGTTACTTCTTGAGTACGATAAGGTGGTTCCGAATATCAGAAGAAAGTATAAAGAGGACAAGAACGAAACAGCAATTCGCAGGCCTCTCAATGTGTATTGCAACAATAACTCGAGGTGAATTGACGTACAAAAACTGCTGGAGGCAGAAGCAACCAAAAAGCATGTAGAAGAAGTTGAAGAAACACGCTATCTCACCTCGAACTCCGAGCACGCGAAGATTTGGAACCAATCGACTCTAAAGTAGTCGAAACTTGAAGATGTAGATCTCCATACTGAGTTACTCCCACTTCAAGCACTTGCCCACGTTCTTCAGCCGTTCCACCAGTGCATGCAGCTGCATCAAATTCGGGACCTGAACCACCGTCTGCGATGAAGATAATGTCATTGCTGCGTTCTGACTAGAACACTTCCGTCTCTTATAAAAACTCGCAAAGAAATGACGATAGCTGTAAATCCTCGGGATTTGGTTTTCAGACAAAGACCCTAAATCTGCACTTCATCAAACATGATTGCTCTTACTCGTGGGACATCCTGGGCCATATCAAGAGCTGCCTGCAGTTCCTCCACTTCGACTCGAGGCATGGGCTGACTGAATTGCCATCACCTTAGTTCAAGGGATGATGGAATCAATCGCATCGCACTTTGGTACTCGACTGGTACCATATTTAGTAGGTAGTAGACACACGCACGCATGCCCACATTTGGGAAAGGCATACATTTCCCTTGTACACACCCGGCCATGAATTGGATTGGACTATCACTGGAACAACATCCTCCCTCCCTTCCTTCCTCCCTCCCTCAGTGCATGACTTGTGCCAGACACGCCACCAACTCTGGAAACTCTTATGGCCTTTATGTCCATGTGACGGCGTCACGAAGAGAGAGAGGGAGAGAGCTGAAGCACGCTTGTGGCAGAAAGTCCCGAAGCCGGTCAGCTGGGTGAGCTCATACAGTTCTCTCCCGAGTCCGTCTCGGCATTTATTCATCATCGCTGTCCCTGATTCGGGTCCAACGAGTGAACTTACAGTTTGTTCATGACCAGAGTGCCCAACAAATCAGCCAGTCCATCGAAAGCGACATGAAGAATGCCGCGGCTCAGGCTCAGGCTCAGGGTCCACGCCCTACATGCACGAGGTGGCTACAATCCGCCATGGAATTTCTATTACGTGAGAATAGAAATGCTGCGCACGTCTGCCTGCCTGCCTACCTCTCCAGCATCGAGTCCTGCACTCTGATCTGCAGCAGATTTTCCAATGCTCGCATTGGAAAATCTGTGCATTCTTCTCTTCACTCGGTGCGTCTGCTTTACAAGTTCTTGCGTTCTTGCTCTGGACAGCCCCTTCCTCATATACACTCAGCCCGTTATCCTATACCACCATACCAGGCTCGGGGCCGAAGTGAATCTTTTCGAATGATAGCGCGCGCACGCACGCACGCAAGTACTTACTTCCGTCTCTGATGTCATCGCGTCGGTTTCGCAAGTACTCTGAGATCAGCACAATCAATTTTGATTCAGATGAGGAACCACCTCCACTGTGGCCGTCTAACCGATATTAGCGAGATCCGAGTGCCGATTTGTCTTACTTTCATGGTTGGAGGACTGAAATACCTTGTGACATCGGGGCTCCGGCTGAAGGTAAATGATATGCAGCGGCACTAAGCGAACAATTGCGAGTAAATTACGATAGACCACGTACCTGCAGTCAAGCACAAAGGCTCCATATTTACTTCACAATATCCAAATCATTCTTGAGATTATTCCTTCAGCAAGAGAATGACATACATCTCTGGGTATGCTGCAGTTCATTGCAGAATCAAGAGTGGCATAACCTGAGAAGAATATGAATTACCTAAACACAACATCTAGCTTACTGAACATGTACGAACTATGACTTGTGATAGTTAAATATACACTATGGTTGATTTGAAAACATGGTTTCCACGAGAACCAATTGCGTTACTTATTGAAAATCAGGTAATCGTGTAAAACTATGCCATCCATTCTCTAAACAAGATGAATTTCACCTGTCATTGGCCTCCTCGTCTCCTTCGCCAATGATGGGCATGGTCGGACCATCCGGAATAGCAAATCTACCCGAAACAAACAGAAAACATTATTTCAAGCACATGAGAATACAAAACCAAGGAATCCACAGCATAGAAAGTTTCCTCTGTTGCTGCCTTCACCACTTAGGCTTGCTTACCTTCTAGCCAACCACAACAATGCTGAAGTAGATCCAATGCCTGCAAAACTATGAGGTGATCCTCTCATCTGGCCAGCGTTATCTTTGCTCTTGAATTCCCTTGGGTATGCCCACATTAGCAGTGGCCCATCAGTAGCCGGGTCATACGCTGGAGGTAAATACAAATTTGCTGTAAGTTGCACACCATCGCTCCGTTCGTATCGTATAATCTCCTTCTTCAGATTAGCTATTTGAGGATACGGATGAGGGAAGTCTGTAATTTGACAGACAGTTTGCTCAGGCCAGGATCGCAGATAATACTGAGGTGGTTCGGTTTGAGATTCCTTTGAGACCAAAATATGTAACTTGTTCAGTTCCAGATCTCCATCCAACTGATCTGACATCAAAGCTAGGACTGTCTCGAAATAAGTCTCCTTGCTGCTTTCCCAGATTCGCTGTTTTTCACCTGACTCGCTGCCAAACCAACCAGAACTTAGAAATCATAGGACCGCTGAGTTTTAATTATCACTTTCTTGCAGTCAAGCCTTGGATGCCCACACTAGAACCAGAGGGGAAAGCGTACATAGTAAGGATAGTAGCCACCAACTGAAACAATTGAGAAAAGTATCGAAGGTAAGTCCCCTGTTCGTAACGGAGGCTCCGATATAACTGGACTGCAAAGATCAGAAAGCCCTGGTGGAGGAACTCACAATTCTCCTGGCAGGCTTGTTACATGAATGAGCATGAAGGCGACAAAGGCCTAAGCAATGATGAAATTTTATATTATTCTTACATTTCCAGCAGATCCAAGAAAGGGATATTGCCTTGTGGGGTCGCGCCACTTCCATTCAGGAGCAGTCTCTTCTTGCCATCAGCATCTTTGACACCTGCAAGAACGTACGTTCCAAGAGAAGTTCTGCGAAGCATGGGTGAACCAGGATCTGCGTAGACATCTTCTGATGAGCGATCAAAAAGATGACGCCCTTCTGCTTCAAGATTCCCAGGTGCAATCATCCAAGTTCGAGTGCGTCGTGTTTTGTACCATGATTCATACACGAGAGCAAGTCCTTCATCCCCCCAGACAACAGCTGCCGACATGGAATTGTCATGTGCACATGAGTACACAGATATCTGTCAGTAAATGGAGAATGAATTCAAGGTCATTCGTTGAAGGAATTCAAATCCTTGTGTAGTTACACAAGGATTTGGTTTGACAAGAACGAAACGATACGATCGAGTCAAATTGCCTCGGACTTTTATCGGTACAGTGCTTGAGGATTTAGCAGGCAGCCGACCTGTTCCTGTGCACGAGCCTGTCGGCTGTTCCTGCAATTGCAGTTTTCACCTTTTGACCTTTCCGCACCATAATCCGCGTGCTTTGCTGCCGCTTCACTTTCTTCTTTACACAGAATTCACTCGGCTGGAGAACTTCGAAGAAAGCAAGATAAGGCAATCTTCAAGTCCACTTTAAAGATCGTTGACTGTGTGCTGCCCGAGGCTAAAACGTTCAACTCTTGTACATAATTATTGAATATAGGAAAGTCAAACGAGAACCTTCTGAGAATGACTCAAAAGTCAAAAGATACTCCGCGATTCCACGCACGGTTTTGAAGCTCACTGGTCTATGTGAGCTGGACCGCGTACCATTGGCCCAAAAGGCTTCCCGAGGAGACTCAGAAACTCACCCACACAAGAAAGACTCTAGCAGAGAAGGCAATTTCTGCTTGCACATATGGGATGGTCTGGAGGGATTGAGGATTTCAATTGAGCGACATCACAAAGCTCCGTCTGATGAATGTGATTTTCGTGCACTTGTATTAGCGTTTCTCTACTGACGAGGAGGAGAATCAAATATATCGCATGCTCTCTATCGTGCTTCTAGAGCGGGCGGGCGTCGATTACGCAAGTTAAATACAATGTCTCTGCCCCCTGCGTGTTCGGCCACTTCCACGTCGAGGGTAAGGAAATCGCAATAATCTATGCAAAGTACAGTATAGCAGTTCTGGAACGTGTTTGCGCTATATCCAATTTTGTCTTGAAATCTAAGAATCTCAGAGCTGCATTAGGTGAGATCGGTCCAGGTTGTTTGATTGCTGATCTGATCTGCATCTGATGTATCAGTTAAACGACTCCGTGTACGAACTTCATAACCCAGGAGTTGAATCAGTGCTGGACGTTGTATTCTTTCACGGCCTACAATCGTCACACACCTCTGTACCTCACCTATCAACATGGATATCAAGCGGTTCTCACAAGGAAGTATGGCCGCAGGCCTGGATCCCGCAAGAGTTTCCGGGAGCTCGGATTCTCTCTGTCCAGTACGATGCTTCTATCAGGACATCAGCAGAGCATGGAAGATTAGACCTCTACCTCACAGCCGAAAGTTTGATGCATAATCTTATATTTGCGAAGGTGGGGCAGCATCCTTGGCGTTCAGTTATACTCGTCGGTCATAGTTACGGAGGCCTTGTGATCAAACAATTGTGCTTCCACGCACACTCCAGCAAAAGCAACAAACAAATAGCTCGCTTTCTCAACTCCGTCACAGGAATTTTCTTCTATGGAACGCCGCACCATGGAAGTTCATCATTCTTCACTCCAAATGGAACAAAACTAAAGGAGGCTAGCCCTCTACTCGACTATGTCAACCTGCTTTGCGCAGAATCAGGTCGCCTTCATGAAAATTTTGATGCTTTACGTCTGTCCTACGAGTGGAGCATTGCTGGAGTTGGAGAATCGAGACCTACGATCATGCTAGTGAGTGTGGGACTGACATGTTTGTTCTTTACTTTTATCCTCTTGATTCTAAACTGCTGAAACAGCAGCATTAATTCTGCATCAAAATATCATAGTTTGTAACCCAGTACTTTTATGAAATTGTTCGGATATCACTCACAATAGATCTTGATAGGTTTCATGAAGTTTGCCGAATCCCAGTTTCACTTTTGGAAATCCATCCACCATACAATATTTTCAGATTACTAGTCTGACCAGTGGTTTGTTCCAACCTGTTCCGAAGTTTAGGATGCAGAGTCTCAGAACGCTGTTGCTAACTGCATTCTCAGAATTCTGAGACTCTGCTGTTGCAGAGTCTCAGAATGTGAGATGATTGTAGTTGAGGCTTCAGCTCGGTACGGCGACTTCACTGTGGAGCTTGAGGATCATATCTCTCTCTGCCAGCCCGAGAGCAAGACTTCAAATACTTACGTACGGTTGACATCGTTCCTGCAAAGGTTACAAAGCAATAAGGTTGCGCACACGAACATGTCTTCTGTCTTGGCAATTGCAATTGTTCGTCAATAAAAGCAAAGATTAGCCCATGAGACCCTCTTTCAGATGTATGAGAGCCAAAGTAGGTTCAAGAAACCACACGAGTTTATTGTGGGCGTCCGTCGATAACTAGATCCCTGTCAACAAGATTTCAAATTGTGGCTTTCAAGCAAGAGTTCATTCTAGTTGAGTGAGATTCTTCCTAACCTACAGATTTGAACTACGTTTGGCTACTGTGATTGGATATAGGTGAACAGGAGAAGACTTCCTGATAATCTCCAGACGGTGCCGAAAATGGCAATGAGCCTACATTCTGACTTACTTGTAGAGGTTCAAAACATTTTACGCACAGGTCCAGCAGCAGTTGCTCTTTGCGGCATGGGAGGAGTAGGGAAAACAACTCTCGCAAAGCTGTTGTTCAATGAGTTGTGTGCTGAATACGAATACACTTGTTTCGTTCCGGGATGTACGCTCAAGAAAAATACCAAAGAGATAGAAGACGAAGTGTTTTCGTCGATGTATCACCTTGGCAAGCAGCTTACAAAAAGAGTGAAAGAGTGGCAATTGATTGATTTGAGACAGAAAATACTTCTCCTTGTTTTGGATGACATTGACAATGGTAGTCATGTTGCATTTCTCCAGGACATAGTTTCGAAGAACAATTGCGCAAACAGTCGTTACATTGTTACCTCTAGAAATAGAGACATTTTGAACAGTTTGGATTCATGCGTGTTTGATGTGAAATTCTTGAATCCCGAGAGCTCCACAAAGTTATTTATGAGCTACGCATTTCCGTATCCGACCGAACCGAGTCCATCACTGAAGGAATGGGTACACAAGATCGTCAAGAAATGTGATGGACTACCATTAACCCTAGAGGTGATAGGCACGTATCTGAAGACGAAAGACAAAGAAAGCATATGGATACAGTGTTTCCAAGCTCTGGATGAAGCAGAGAACGTAGTGAGTCTGGATGAGAAGTTGTGGGCGAAATTGAGAGTTTCTTACGACCGTTTGGGTAGTCAAGAGAAAAATATGTTCCTTGATGCTGCGTCATTCTTCAGCAATTCCACCTGGAACCTGCGAGAAGCTAAGGCTTGCTGGCGTGTGCTCTATGGCAAGGAAGATCTCCGATGGCAGACTCTGGTAGACTTGTCTCTTGTCTACAATGTAACGGAAGAGAAAAGTATACAAATGCATGAGCAATTGAGGTCTCTCGGAATTAGATTGGCTTCAGGATGGGGAACAGGTGGCAGATGTAGGACTTGGACTCCCAAAAATGTCCCTTCGAGGTTTAATTCCTCAAACTACAATGAGAGTATTGCAGAAGGACAGTTCTATTCCAATGATCCAGGCTCATCAAGCACTGGTATGGCAACACATATTGAGGTACGAGATTATGTTACTCCGACTTTCAAGGTCACGTCTCCTCTCTATAGTACTCCCATGTCGGATATCGGTTGTTGTTGTAGATCATTGAAATTCACGTCAACTGAGGCACGTCATTGTTCGGTCGGGTTTTTTTTCTGAACTTTTTTTATTGATTCTTGTACACAACCATTTCAAAGCTTCACTGCCCTTCTTGTTGGTCAACGTACTGCATTCTTGAACCCAAGAAATTGTCTGAGTAGATCCTCTGCCTTTTCTTTATAAATGTTTTTCGAAGCACTTCATTGTCAGTCACCGTGCTTCTGTGAGAAATCAGCGATATAATTTTATAAAGTCGCAGCCTTTACTTCTTAAACGTAATTCAAAGCAATCAACGCACTGGTTTTGCTACTCCTAGAAACTCCCTTTAGGATCAAAAAACTTTACTTTCATTATGTCATTGATAGCGCACTTTCTCTCTTTATCTTGCTGTGGGGATATTCATCACGTTATATAGTCTCTACACCGCGTTACTGAGTTTGCTCATCCTGATCCTATCTGGACTTCCAAACGAGAAGCGTCTTGTTGTCAAATACCTGGCCTGTGATCTCTAACGGATGCTCCTCCTCACTCAATTTGGACTTTCCTGTTAAGGATGTCATTGACTTTGAACCTGAAGACTCCATGGCCCTGATCAAATGAAATGCTACAAGTCTTCTAGGTCAAGTTTAGATCATGGACTATATTTGTGGCCTGGAATGTGAACTAGGCCCTTGGTGTTTTGGTGCAGGAGGTCATAGCGATACGACATGAACACTCGATGCTCCTCGACTGGAGAGATATTGGCCAGATGAAGAAGCTGCAATATTTGGATTCTGAGGAGTTGATGTTGGATGAAGTAGGTGGCAAGCTTCCAAAGAATGTGACCCTTCTTCGACTTCGTGGAGAAGTGAACAATCTTCATGACCTGGTAGACCGAGGGCTCGCGAGAAGTTTGGCTGTTCTGGACTTGACTGGAGTTGACTTGAACCCCACATGTTTCCCAACAACCGTCACATGTTTCCCAACAACCGTCAGCGACTTTCAAAACCTTGAAGTTATGAAATTCGCAAAATGCCTCTTCGAAGATCTTCCCGAAGCATTCGGACAACTTCCCAGGCTTTGTCATCTTACATTTACTTCGTGCGAGAGACTTTGTTCACTCCCCGAAGCTTTTGGAGGGCTCTCACAACTGCGGTCTTTGGAACTTCATTGGTGTTGGAGGTTGAAAGCATTGCCGGATGGATTCGGAAATCTGTCCCAGCTACAAAGCCTGAGAATATATGGGAGTGATATCTCAAAACTGCCTGAGAGCTTCGGAAATCTGTTCAAGCTAGAAAGCCTGACAATATTTGGGTGTTCGAGGTTGAAAGCATTGCCGGATGGATTCGGAAATCTGTCCCAGCTACAAAGCCTGGAAATAGGTGTGAGTAATATCTCAGAACTGCCTGAGAGCTTCGGAAATCTGTCCCAGCTACAAAGCCTGGAAATAGGTATGAGTAATATCTCAGAACTGCCTGAGAGCTTCGGAAATCTGTCCCAACTACAAAGCCTGATAATAAGAGAGAGTAAATTCTCAAAACTGCCTGAGAGCT